TTTATGAAATTTCTAAATGGACAAACCACACATTTCTACGAACTTTAAAACCAAAACTGTTTTCATTTTCTGACCAATAGATAGTCTTAACGTAACTTAGAAATGAACCTTATTTTAGTTGGGCCGAGCCCAAAATAAAATGAAATATATAGAGTACCCAAACACAGAGTAAAATTGTGTGTGTGTATATGGTGCCTGGCACATACCTCCTACATAACTAGTAGACATCATTGGCTATTATTCCATATATTAATTAAAATAGTCTTTTATATTTGGTATATGGTGAAATAAAAAGGATGAGTCTTTGTATTTATTCAATTTTACAAAGGCCCAGAAGTAGGGTCACAAGCTCAAGGATTGACAGCTAGTAGGAACCCCTCTAGCCACTCCTCGGAAGGCAATCTACTTCCGTAGTGATACCACCTTGGAAACCCAAGGAGGCGTCACTATGAGTCGGGGCCGACTTGACGGCACATAACAACAACAACAGGAACACTGGCCTGCAGTCTTGAACCCAGCCTAAATCCTGGTTCAAGGCTCATTTCACTGTGATACGACAACTTCAAGATTACTAACTTACTGGTTATCTTAGAGCAGTGGTTCTCAACTGGGGGTGATTTTGACCGACCAATGAACATTTGGCAAGGTCTGGAGATGTGTGGTTATCACACCTGGGAGTGGGGTGTATGTGCTACCGGCATATAGTGGGTAGAGGCCAGAAATGTTGCTGCACATCCTACAGGGCAGTCCCTCACAGCAAAGCAGTATAAGGCTCCAAATGTTAACAGCAGTGAGGTTGAGAATTCCCCTCTCCCCCCTTAAATAACAGTCTAACCACTGTTATTAGCCAGGAGAGTGAAGACCAGAAGTTTGCCCACATGCCATACTTCACCATGTGCCTTTAACTTCCTCCATTCTAACTACTCTTTCTCTATTCTGTCCGAATGGGCCTCTCCCACCACAGGGGAAAATGCTGGGTTCTCGTCTCCTTCTCCCTTTGACTCTCAGACAACAGCAAAAGTGTGTTCATGCTGCATAACAGGCCAGGAGACATGAAGAGTGAGGAAGCCAGAAAGTACAGTGATGCACTCTCCAAAGCACCAGTCTGGGCTTTTTTTTTTAATCCAAAGCCAGTGGTGGCCACTACCCACCACTCTGACTTCTGACTAAGCAGCACTGCCCACAGCAGCTCCTACAATCCACTGAAGCTTTTAAAAAAGATAGCTCAGTAGTGATTCAGACATCATCATTGCCTCAGGACAGTAGTAATTTGCCCTTGACAGTCCTCAACACTGGACAAGACAGGTTGATTTCAGGAGATTTTAAAAGAAAAGAAATTTGACCAAGATCAAGTTTAAAGGAAGTTTAGTTCCATTAGCCAGAGTCTCAATTATTCTTTTATTATTAATTATTTAATTTCTTAGATTGCTAAAGCACTTTATAGTCTGGAGAGCACATTTGTGTCTATTTTCCCAACTGAATATCACAATCATACTATCACACAGGTACAGCAGATACCAGGTTCTACTCTAGGACTATGGAGAGGCCCTCAGAACAGGGGGCTCCTGGCCCAATGCTCTCCCCCCTCTGCCAGGCCCCAACATTTGGCTCGCTAACCTACACACATACTGATTCTCACTCATTTGTAGTACCCAGATGATCAACACGTAGGCATCTTGTCTTACAAGGAAAACTCAGCAAAAAAGAAGAAATTATATGACAGAAAATAAAGACTTGTAAATGACAGATTACATAGATTACACACAAATTGATTTCAGCAAAGTATTCTAAAATAAAAGCCCTTCTCCCTTCCTTTATACCAGTCTAGTCCACAATAAGATTTTCCCTTTCCTGATTCCCATATTCCACTTCTTATAACTATTAAAGATCTGCCCAGTTCACCAGAGAAACACCTGCACACAACACATCAGGAAATGCTCTTGGAGATCAACACAGTTCAGGCTTTTGCTTCCCTGCACAGTAAACCTGTGTCTCCTCCACCTTGCTTACCTGTTTCAGCCAACACTTATCTTACACACATTGCTAGAAGGTGCTGTAGAGTTCAGGAGACATGAAAGGAGTGAGGCGGTTCAAAGGAGCCCTGGTGGTGCAGTGGTTAAGTGCTTGGCGGCAAACTGAAAAGTGAGCAGTTCACACCCACTAGCAGTCCACAGAAGAAAGATGAGCACACCCTTGGAAACCCTATGGGGCAGCTCTACCCTGACTTAACAGGGGTCGCTCTGAGTCAGGATGGACCTTAACTCAAAGGTGTTGTGTGTGTTTGTTTTTTAAGGTGGTTCATACCTGGGGCCACATGGAAAGCACATCTACAACTTTAACGCATGAACATAGAGACACCGCACATCTAGTGGAGTAATGCGGCAGGACCAGTTCCAAAAGTAAAAGGTGACCTCACCTGGGCCATGAAAGATAGAAAAGAGGTCACAGAAGAAGATGGAAGGAAAGAGCGCTCTGATGAAAGACCACAGCTGAATGTTGAGTTCAGTTTGGTCAAGGTGCACCCTGAGATCAGACTCAAAACTAAAAGAAAACCGGAGCTCCCTCAAGTCACACTGCAAAGCAGAAATAGGGAATAAGAATCCAGGTAACGCCTTGCCTGTCAGCAGTAAGACACAGCCAGAATCAGGGCTATCGCCCCTAAAAAGCTTGCAGGGTGCAGCAGTGCCGGGGGCAGATGGGAAGCGGGCGAGCAAAAACGGATTCCTATAGCAATTCTGTGCACAAGGTAGGACTGTGACAAAACCGTTGGTTACCAGAGTCCCTCCTGAACCAGAGATCTGGGTGAGTAGGTTTCCACGGGCGTGTTTTGCGGCCACTTGCAAAGAACTAAGGAAGCTCTTCTGGAACACACCTGGGTCCTATCCGCCCGCAACGCGTCCCCTTTACCGGCCCAGCTCAGCACGAGCCTGATGCCTTCAGCCGCGGACCCTGCCCCAGCCTAGTGTCCGTCCAAGATTAGAGTCCCCCCCACAGGGGGCACTGTCACTACGTCCACGCCCGGGCTGGGCAATGCCACAGACGTGCAGATTTCAGTCCCGACCCCGCCACTGCAAGATCCCAAGTTAGACTCTGCCCGGGTTTCATGGAAAGGACCATTGGAGCACATCCCGGCCGAGGCAGGCGAGCGCCAGCAGCCGACGGGCGCCCAGGGCCACTCTCCAGGACCGGGCTGCGGCCTCTCCGTGGACCCCAGGTGGGGGAGGTAGGCTCGGCGCTGATGCCCGGGGCGAGGGCAGACCACGCCGCAGCCAGCTCGAAGCACGTGCCAGGCCTCGCCGGCCTCCCCGCTCCGGAGATAAAGTCCGCTCCCTTAGGCACCGCGGTTCCAGCACCCGGCGCCGGGCAGGGCCTGCGCGCAGCACCGACCTGACTCTGGACGCCGACTCGCCTCTGGGCTCGTTCTCCTGCAACCCCTGCGCACACTCACCATTGTGGTTGACCCAGGTCGGCTTCAGGAGCTTCATTGTTCGGCCGCCGCCGCCGCCGCCGCCGCCGCCGGGCTGAGGCGAGAGCCGCGTCCCTCAGCGCGCCCGGGCCATGGAACCAGCGCCGCAGCTTTCTCCCGCGCCGCCCGCCCTCCA